TAAAAGAAGACAGAATAGGCTGAACTACTCAACTCTTCTGTTATCTCTGCAAAGGCTAATCTTTGGAGAGAAAGGATTAGAGCCAAAACGGTCAATAGGGAGTAGACACACACGATGATTGGGGACATAGCGAGTGATCACCTCCGTGCCTTGGAAGAACTCAAGTAACAAAACCAGACTGACAACATTCCATGACATGGACAGAGCCAGCAGGTGTGTTTGCTGAATTGCATCAGTCAGAGACATCTGAAGGATGGTGGAGAACCCGGGGCTGGTGTAAGGCTGAAGAACTGTAAATGTTGTCCTGATTTTTGAAGAAAGGGAAGACAGTAGAGCCTGCAAAATCTAGGCCTCTGGCCTTGATTGTGATTCTTGGCCAAAGTATGGAATTTATTATCAAAGGAACGGTGAGTAAACCATTAGAAAAAGAAAGTGATTCCAAAAATCCAGCATGGTTTTGAAAACAGATTGTGCCAGGGTTTGTTTTTTTTTGTTTGTTTTATTTTGTTGGTTTTTTTTTTTGGTAGCAAAGACCTGAACGCAAAGTCAAAGCCCCTTGATTGGGGAATGGCTAAACAAATGGAGGTCCGTGAATGTAATGGAGTCTTACAGTGCTGTAAAGAAGGACGAGTAAGATGAATATAGAGAAATATGGAAGGACTTACAAGAACTGATGCAAAATTAGGTAAGCAGAGGTAAGAAAACAACGTAGACAACTACAACAATGCAAATGGAAAGAAGTGCAAAACAATGGCCAGTGAATGTTGGGAAATTCCAAAGAACAAGCTTGGACCTAAAGAAGTAAGTGCTACGTAAATGTTAGCGACTAGCTATTTTCACTCATCCATCCATCCATCCATCCATCCATCCATCCATCCATCCATCCATCCATCCATTCATTCATACTCTGTGCAAGGCTGGAATGCCCAGGCTGTAGCACATTACAACCCAAGAACTGTGCGGAAAATCCAGCATGAGGGATATACTCAGAGATACGTGCCACAGGAGAGGGAAGAGGGCCAGTCACCTAGGGGGACAAAGTGAAGGTCAAGAGAGAGCCAAGATACTCCCATGGCAGCCCTGCAACATCAAGGGCACCAGAAGAAGGTCCCCAACACACAGGGAGAACCTTCTGCTACACATTTATGGGAGTACAAGAGGAAGAGGGGGCATGGAAGTGTCGTGGGCTTCTCCACCGGAAGGAGAACAGGCGTTGATGAGACAGCAGATCCATATGGACAAGGACTGAGCTATAGCCAGGGAAACAGAGTTGAAAAAGGCCCCATCCCCTGCCTTCAGCAAGCTTATGTTCTATGGGGGAATACTGCAGGACCACAGACAAGTGCAGGATAAGGGAGTGAATGATGGCAGCGCACGAGAGAACCAGCTAAAGGGCTCTGGTCATATTTTAGGAGAGAAGAGAAGATTTACATTTGGAGGGCTTGGCTGCAGGATGGGGCAGTCATTCCAGGATTAGGTGACACCAGGAAGCCTTCTAGAGAGAGAAGGCCTAACGAAAGAGGCAGCATGGCACTGTGTAAAGAGGGCTGAATTAGGAGTCACAAGGCCTGGGTTCGAATTCCATCTCTGCCACTTACTCTGCAACCTCGGACAGATCTTAATCCCTCCGGGCTTCAGTTTTTTCATTTGTAAAAATAGGAGGGTTGGATTGGATGGTGCTAAGGGGACTTCAGGCTCTGAATTCATGATCTGGGGGTTTTCTCATGATCCTGATAACAAGTGTTCTGGGACAGACATCTGGTAAATCAAATGCTCAATAAATTCTATGACTTGAATCCTTTTCCTTAGCTTTCTGAAAATCCTAACTGGCCTATCTGAGGGATTTACCCATAGATCCAGGCCACAGAGAAAGTTGTCAATCCAGAGAGCCAATTTACAACCAGGGGTATGCTGGAGCCAGCTCAAACCCACTGGAGAGAGCCAATTATTATTTATTCAATGTGAGTGACCATACCTCAGAAAACAGAAAACGCTACAAATCACGGCTTGATTTATTGCTTTGTTGATTGTCTAGACTTAAGAAAGTGATGGAGAAATGTCAATAATGAAGATTAAACTTAAAATTGTGTTGAGCATATTATTTTCCCCCCTGGAAGGCTGGTTGTTAAATATTTACCAGCACACCCCATAAACACTCAAGTTGTTTAGAAATAACTTTCTGATCAAATATCACCATGAAGAAATTGAGTCTGGCTACTTACCTCTGCTGGGGATACCCTGAGATATTAGGACCATTCTGGCCAAATTGATGGGTCCCAGAATTGGGGGGTCCAGGAGGTAATGCCCCAACAGGTGCAGTTGGTCCTAAAGACCCAGCTGGCTTCATTATGCCTGGAAAGCAACAAAGAGTACAGGTGAATACACTTAGGTGTCCACGTTATTAACAACTTATAGCAGATGATGCAAAATCCTTAGGCCAAGAACGTGGGCTGACAAAGGGAGAGTGTGGGTAACAATCCATTCTGAAGTGCAAAGGCCTGGATAAGGGGGTAGCTAATGTCCTTTCCAGCTTGCAGTCATGTCATCCTGTCACTCCGTGCTGTAATTCTGGGCTCCAGGAGTGGATGAGGGAGCCCTGCCTCTGTGAACAATACTTAAAGAGGACTAAAAGTAAAATAAAGAAAATGGAGAATAACTAGAATACTCTCCATCCACTTAGTTCAAAGGCCAGTCAGACTTTGTGCTTTGCATGGAATAAGCACTTTTCTTTCTTTCTTCCTTCCTTCCTTCCTTCCTTCCTTCCTTCCTTCCCTCCTCCCTCCCTCTGTTTAGTCAATCAAACAGGAATAATTGCAGAAAGGCAACAAGGAGTACAGAAGAGGGTCCCGAATTTGGAGTCCAAGGACCTGGGTTCGAATCCCGGCTCAGCTTCTTACCATCACTGTGACCAGGGGAAAAATCACTCCCCATCTCTATGCCTCAGCTTCCTTTTCTATGGACTGGGGCTGGTCCAGATGGTCTTAAAGCCTCACTGCTAGACCCGAATAACTATTTGATGAATGGAATTGAATAGAATAAAATTTACTTGTCCCCCATCTGTAGCCAACATTTCCCCGCCATCTGTGCTTTCCCCCTGGCTTTTTTGCCCTCCTCTCCACATGAAATCTCTATGGCCCAGATATAAAGTTACTTCTTCCAAGAAGCCTTACATACCTGCCCAGAAATGACCCTTCCCTCCTCAGTCTTGTCATGGTACCCCATTTGCACGTCTTAGGATCTCCCCTATGTTACAGGCACAGGGCATGGCTCAAGTGCCGGAACAACCTTTGAGAGTGTCTATTTTAAGACCGATCCTCATTTTACAGATGAGGAAACTGAGGCCCAGGGAGGTTAAATGATCTGCCCAATGTCACAAAACTAGTAAAAGACAAAGCTGGGATTCCAACTCAGGTCCACGGGACTTGTAGTTTGGGGTTCTTTCCACTGAATCACATTGTATCTCTGGGGAGTATCCCCTTATTAGACTCTGAGAACTTAGCTTAGTGCTCTCCACATACATCACTTAGTAAATGTTTGTTGAATTGAAAAGTGCATGGATGCACACATATCTTTGCTTGTGTTCATGTGTATATACACACATATACACTAGAGTAATACATGTTCTTGTACTTATGCACTAGCATACCACACAATAAATGTAAATATCTATGTTGTTGAGTCATTTCAGTCATGTCTGACTTTTTAGGTTTTCTTGACAAAGATACTGAAATGGTTTGCCATTTCACTTTCCAGCTCATTTTACATATAAGAAAACTGAGGCAAACAGGGTTAAGTGACTTGCCCAAGGTCACCCAGCTAGGGAGTGTCGGAGGTCAGATTTGAACTCAGGAAGATGAGTCTTCCTGATTCCAGGCCCGGCCCTCTATCCACTGTGCCACCTAACTGCCCAAATATATATGTATATACATATATACAAGATGAGTAATATATGTACATATTACTCTTGTTATATATATGCATGTATTTTGAATATATATTTCAACATACATATACATGCATACATGTAAGTGTGTACACATGCATGTGTGTTTATATATACATATACACACATTATATATAGTAAGTGTATTAGGCTCTCTGGAAGTGGATACTGAAACATTGCCATGGTAGATCCGAATATAAGTTTAGCAAAATGAGCCAAACACAAAAGTTTTGAGCCCTAGAGGTTAGAAAAGAGCCCACCTTGGACTCAGAGACAGTTTTGGGTCTCCCTTGTGGCCCCCCTCCTGCACGGCCATCCCACTCAAAAATCAGTCAGTCAACAAATATTTATCAAGTTCTTCCTGCGGATGAGGCAGATAATGTCCAACAACAACAAAACAGATACCAAAGAAATGCACGGATGGTGGAGAACAGAATTCAGTTCTCCAAGAATCCTTGATACTTTTTAAGCTTGGAATTGTAATTTCTTGGACAGAGGGAACTGGAGGGAGGAAACTCTCATTTCAGATCAGTCTCTTTTGCAACTAATTTTATCTGGAGTCACTGAGGGCTCAAGTGACTTGCCTAGATCAGGCCAGAGCTGGTGCTGGACCCCAGTTCTTGCCCCTATCCATCATGCCACACTGCCTCCTGGGGTACCTTGTGATTCTCCAGTGGATCTGAGGAAATCACAGTTCAACAATGTGATAAATAAGTGTCTACCAGTGACTCTTTGGGGTCAGGGCCCAAATCTCCAAATGGTTGCCAAACATGCTACCCTCTACTCCATAAACTCAATAGCTCCCTCTCGCCTATAGACTAAAACAGAATTCTTCTATTTGGCATTTAAAACCCTCCACAATCTGGCCTCAGTCTATCCGTTCCAGGCTTATTTCATATTTCCTCCCTCTTCTACCCCTTGACCTCCACTGAGCATACCCTACATTTGAGACAATCTTTGTCATCTTTGTATGCCCAGTACCTAGCAAACAGCTGGTACTTAATAAATGCTTGGTGAAGTCTCTTTAATTTTCTTTGTGGTACACCTAGGCTGGTGCCACGTGGAAGTAATGAAAATCTTTTAAGAGTAACAGTTCTCATTCACCAGTGGCTTGTTTCCAACCCTGATCTTTGTACCAACCACGCATTTTTCTAAAAGGTTTCAGAAAGGAAGGGGAGGCGGGGTTAGAGGTGTTCATGTTTGTGGTTGGGGTTTGGGGTTTCCGTCTTTGGCAAATTTCTCTCTTATTAACCTGATCATGTATTTGGGTCTTCCTGGGATTGGCCTCATTTATGAAAACGAAGTCTTGCAAAAATACGTTCACAGAAGCTTATTTTAATACGGCAGCAATGTACTCATGTGGGCAAATGAAGATGGTTTGATTCACCAATACGCGAAGCATAGAATTGAACCCCTGCTCTCTGTCTCAGTGAGAAGTAGCAGAATGGATGGAGAAGCACCACCACGGCGACCAGAATCCCTGCACGTTGGCCAGTCCCCTTTCTGCTACTGCTGCTACGTGACTCGAGCCAAGTCACTTAACTTCTCATCGCTCAAGGCAACTTGCTAAGAATAAGTTGCAGAGGGCTTGACAGCCAGCACCTGGGAGTTCTTCCGTCAGTGACATCACAGCTCCTCTCCTGTCAGTGGCAAAAGAAGACAGGGAAGCCTAGGAACTTTGGGCAGGTAGGTGGTGACGTGGACAGTGCACTGGGCTTGGAATCAGGAAGACTCATCTTCCTGGTTTAAATCAGGCACTTACTCCCAGTGTGACCCTGGGCAAGTCACTCGACCCTCTTTGCCTCAGTTTCCTCATCTGTCAAATGAGCTGGAGAAGGAGATGGCCAATCATTCCAGCCTCTCTGCCAACAAAACCCCAAATGTGTCATGGAGAGTCAGACATGACTGAAATAACTAAACAACTGCCCAAAGATGACAGTGTCGAGAAGGGCTTTGAACGAGAGCTGGGGGAGCTGCTGCAGGTTTGTTTAAATAGAGATCTAGTTGGGGGATCTGAGTAAGGTGAGAAGAAAGAAGGGATGTGGACTGTGGCAGGCTAACCTGCCCTAAAGTCTGGTAGAAGGGCTGCATTTGCACCATGCTACCGGTGAGAGCATCTGAAGACAAGATGAACAGAGATTGTTTCTGCAGCAAGTTTGGTAGAACTAGCATTTATAGGGCTTTACAAATCTTAAAAGAGTTTTGTAAATATCACCTCATTTGATCCTCACAACAACCTGGAGAAGTAGGTGCAATTATTATTCCCATTTTACAGATGAGGAAACTGAGTCGGACAAGAGGTTAAGTGACTCGCCCAGGGTCACATAGCTACTAAGTGCCTGAGGCTGCATTTGAACTCAGGCCTTCCTGACTCCAGCACTCTCTCCACTGTATCACCTCTACCACCCCACCTACCTGCCCCATGACTAGTATTGCCTCCCTACTTCTCACCTCTCTCAGCAGTACAGTCCAGAGGACAGGCAGTTGGATTGAGAGTCGGAGGATGTGGGTTTGAATCCCCCTTTCGGCACATATGACCTGGCAGTGGGTAGGAAGCGGCCTTGGGAATCTCAGCCTCAGTTTCCTCTTTTGTAAAATGAGGGAATTGGACTAGATGACCCCTGAAGTCTCTTCTGGGTCTAGATTCTATGATTCTGGTCCCTCTAGGGACAAACAGAACACGTCTAACCACTCCTCCCTTTGGATATGTGCAGGAAGAAGGGTCAGGCTAGCTAGGCATCTGCTTCCTTTGGGCTATCCTCGTATGGCACGACTTTGAAGTTCCATCTCCGTCACGTCAATGACCTTTCCCTGCCTCGCCCCTTCCCCCATTCCTTCCTCTTTGGGGGGGGGGGGTTGTCTCTCCCTTTAGATTGTAAGCTCTTTAGACCTGAACTGCCTTTTTATTAATAAATAAATCTATTAATCAACTACTAACTTATTAATAAATTCATTAATAGTTAATTGTTATATAGCTATATCATGCAACATATTGTATAATATATAACTATGTAATCATATATAATTATAGTTATGTTATGTGTTATATAACTAATGATGTATTATATTATATATATATAGTTATGTAAATTGTATATTTTTATTATATAATCGAGGAGGCAGCTACATGGCTCAATGAACAGAGCGCCAGGCCTAGAGTCAAGAAGACCTGAGTTCAAATCCAGCCTCAGACACTAACTAGCTGTGTGATGCTGGGCAAGTCACTTAACCTCTATTTGTCTTAATCCACAAACCACGCCAATATCTTTGCCACGGAAACCCCACGAACAGCATGGCGCACGGGGTCACGAAGAGTCGGGCACCACTCAACAACTGAACAGCAACAAAATTATATCATTATGTAATATAACTCTATAATAATAATAATAATAATAATAATAATAATAATGTATTTTAAGATTACATGTTATACAGTTATACATCATTTTATAGTTATATAATAATGAAGGTGTTACATATAATAATGATATGTTATATTACTATGTAATAATGAATGATTATGAATTAATTAATTTAACAGTACTTAGGACAATGCCTGGTGCTTAATAAATTTTTCTTGGATTTACTGGATTGCTTATTTTAGGTCACTTTACATCCTTGTCAAGTCTGGGGGGTTGGGCTAGCTGAGTTATTGAATGCCTTCCAGCTGCCCTAAATCTTGGATCTCATGACCTTTTGGCATGCTCTCCACTAGACACTTTCCAGCCCATCAAGGTCTTTGAAAAATGAAGAACATAAAAGTGAACAGATCACCCATAATGCTCAGTACTCAGGAGCTCAGGGATGGAATGGGACCTGTGAATTCAATGATGTAGGGGACTTCCAGATGAAGAAACTCCCTCTCCCAGCATGCATCAGCACCTTTTCTGCAATCTATGGTCTTCAAGGGCTGCCCAGGACCCTGAGAGGTTAGGGTATTTGCCCACGGTCACTCTTCCAGCATGTGTCAGGACCCAGAATAGAGTCAAGGTCTTCTGGGCTCTGAGACTGACTCTATCCACCCTTTCATGCTGCCTCTCACTTGGCATGCAGTAAGAGCTTAGGAAACACTTTTCATTTAGATCTGAGCATCTGCATCTGAGCTGAGCAGAGGAGAGCAGAACTATGCCCTCCAGAGTCCCTGGAGACAGCTCTCCGTCTTGCTGGTGCCTAAGAGGGCACTAGATTTCCTGACTGGCATATCACACTATTGAATCTCATTAAGCTTACAGTCCATTAAGCTCCCCAGTTCTTTTTCAAAATCTCTACTCTCCATAAATGAACCAACACGATCCATGTTACCTGCTGGAGGGGCTGAGTGTGATGGGTCACCATAATGTCCACGAAGAGGTGGGGAGAGTGCCCCCATTCCAGGCTGGGGTTGGGAGTATGGAGGCGTAGCGACGTAACCTTGTTGGCTCATGGTGAAAGTTATCTCATTCCAGATCGCAGGTTTCTTCTAAGGCTGAAACAGGAAAAACTCAAGCTATAGCTATAAAACAATTAACTATTAATGAATTTATTAATAAGTTAGTGGTTGATTAATAGATTTATTTATTAATAAAAAGGCAGTTCAGGTCTAAAGAGCTTACAATCTAAAGGGAGAGACAACCCCCCCCCCAAAGAGGAAGGAATGGGGGAAGGGGCGAGGCAGGGAAAGGTCATTGACGTGACGGAGATGGAACTTCAAAGTCGTGCCATACGAGGATAGCCCAAAGGAAGCAGATGCCTAGCTAGCCTGACCCTTCTCCCTGCACATATCCAAAGGGAGGGGTGGTTAGACGTGTTCTGTTTGTCCCTAGAGGGACCAGAATCATAGAATCTAGACCCAGAAGAGACTTCAGGGGTCATCTAGTCCAATTCCCTCATTTTACAAAAGAGGAAACTGAGGCTCAGACTCAAGGACTGAGTTATTCTACTCCTAAAGGAAATGGACATTCTGCGGAACTTCTAAGAACATTGGTGAGGATCTGGGCATCTGCCATAGGAGACGGTCATTACGTCCTTTCATCCTTAAGCATCATCCATTTCATTATAGCTGCTGCAGAACAACAAACGTATTAAGTTTCCACTCTTTATCGAGTTTATCTAGTATTCCGTGGGTGCCCAGAAGATACAAAGGCCCTTTCCCTCCAGGAGCTTATAGCCTAATATGGAGGATATAGGAATAGTGGTTAGCACAGCTACCTTCCAAGCAGTTGACCTCGGTTTAATTTCTGGCCAATACATATTTTTGAAGGCAGCTCGATGGTTCAGTGGATAGAGTGCTGAGCCCAGAGTCAAGAAGACCTGAGTTCAAATCCCCTTTCAGGTACTCACTAGCTGTGTGACCCTGGGTAAGTCACTTTACTTCTGTTTGCCTCAATTTTCTTATCTATAAAATGAGCTGGAGAAGGAAATGGCAAACCCCTCCAATATCTTTGCCAGAAAAACCAAGAGCAGGACGTGACTGAACATTAATACTAACAATGACAAGGCAGGATATAAGGAATGATACAAGTCACTTAAACTCTTCAAAGCTCCAGGCTTTCATTACTGCAGGAAAACTCTTCTGATGTAGGCTGTGACTGAGCAGGATGGCTTTGAAAATGTTGTGCCAAAAAAGTCATCACCCCGAGGCCAACCTGGGCATGCATCTATATGGAGCACATTCTTCCTTTTCTTTTGAGGAAATTAAAGAAGAGTTTATTAAGAATGCCAAGATTAAAAGCACCAGGGACCAGCCTAGATCTCATTCTGATAAACGAGGGAAGGCCTGCTGGCTTGTAAATGATGGGAACCTTCAATTAATTCATCAACAGGCATTCATAAGCTCATTGATAAGCATTCATGCTTATCAAGTCAGGCACAGAACTAAGTGCTAGGGATTCAAAGAAAGGTAAAATCAATTCCTACCCTCAGGGAGCTTACCTTTTAATGGAGGAGATATCATGTTACATACTATATATGAGTCTATATAAACTGTTACAAGGTAACCTGGGAGATGGGGAGAGACACCAGCAGCTGGAAGAACCAGGAAAAACCTCCTGAAGAAGGTGGTATTTGGGCTGAGGTTTGAGGGAAGCCAAAGATTCTGGGAGGTGGGAGAGCATTCCTAGCATGGAGAAGTAACTAATCTATCTTGGAATGTGCGATGAGGAAGAGTAACCTGAGGCCCA